AATGGGAGGCCACGACATGGCGAAGCGTTGAAGTGTGTTTGGCTGTTTGACTTTGGACCATTGACTTTTACTTTTTTACCTAGGTTGACTTTTGGTCGAGATTTATTAGATGTAGTGTATAGACTATGGTTGGACCTGGTATGATTTGATAGGTGTGTTGTAGCATTAATTGCATCCCTTTGACCATTGGTTTAGCTGACTTAATGATTTGGGTTAGTCTTCTCACTATATTCTGTAGGATGTTAGTTGTCTTTGTGACTCTTGTATTGTATGGTGGGCGGGACCCGTTGGTATGCTGGGTTAGGCTCGTATGTATGATGGGCAGGATCCCGATGTTATGTATGGTTTGTGGTATTTTTGGGAATTCACCATTTTTGTGCTTACGGTTTGTGGTTTCAACATTTTTCAAGTACTTCCAGTTCCAGAGGGAAGAGCTCGGCTTAACTGCATAGCATCCTCTGATAGCTTTTCCCCACTGATTATTAATGTTTTACTCTAATGTTTGAAAAATAAAATTTACCTTTATGCTTATAGCTGTGGATTAAATGTTGTTTAGGTGCTTCGTCAGATCATGAGAAGGCGTGATTATACACACATATCAACAATTTTAGATTATGGTTTATACACACATATCAACAATTTTAGATTTGAGATTTCATGATGTTTTTCTTTATAAATTTGATTTTGATTATGGTTTATGATTAAATGGTTTTGTCTTAATTGTATCTTTACGAAAATGGGTATTCATTCTAATTAAAAAATGAAAATTTTATTTTGAAAATCGAGACATTACATAGTATTCCCCAAAAGTACATTAATACCTTGAAATTCATGGGCTTTACAAGTTACAATTCGTCAGTATTAACAATTTTTAAGCATCATAATCTTGTAGGATTTGGTGATTATTAATTTCATCTAAAAGCTCAAGATTCAAGATAGTTTTTCATTGTTTTTTAGAGTTATGTTAAACCATAGAAATTTTAAAATAATGGAAATTCAATATAATCCATGATGTATGTTTTCTTATTAGATAATGTCTTCATAAGTTGGCATCTTGAACTTGGTTATTGTCGGTTCGTCCTTGTCTTATAGAATGCTTTGTCTTAATAATACTGACTCGACCTTAACCATGACACTAATATGGGAGATGGCTTAGTCTTGTACCTAGACTCTACTCGTCTGTGGTCCTTAGATATTGACCTTACACCTAACATCTACTCAACCTTGGTCCTTAAACATTGGCCTTACACCTAGGCTCTATTCAAAATTGGTACTTCAACATTGGACTTGCAAATAAGCTCTACTTAACCTCAGGTGATGTCTACTATTAGCCTCATAGTCTAAAATAAGTTATTACTGACTTAAACATTACCCCCTTATAAAGCTTACAATCTCTTTATCAGTTCTTTAGAAATTTAGAGAAAAACATGTGTAATTTTTTACAAGGATTGGTCAATAAAAGCCGCATAAAAATACGTCAAATACATCCAAATTTTCCTCCTGTGCCACACCAGTATTATGAGTACTTACATGAGTAACCATTTATAATTATGAATTCATACTATACAAGGCCCTTTTTCTCTTTTTTTCTCCATATCTCCTTCCTACTTCTTTGCTGAGTTTCCTTCTTTTCCATTGTGATTACTTCTCCTTAATGCAACTTTATGTTTGTCTTCATAAACAACTTGAGATAGCTATTAGACATATGGGGGAATTTTGCTTAAGAATTAACCTAATCATGTTGTCTATACATAGTTTCTTAAATCCACACCATGCCTAAAAGAGGCCCATCAAAAGAAAGTTGGGATTTATCTCAATTTCTTCAAGGCTTGTATGTGCTTTCCCACAACTGATTTTATTCACAAGCTGATCACCTAATATCAACTAAACTTGGGTAGCTAAAATAAAAATGTAATCGCCAGTATTATTGTTTTTGAATATTTGTGTAGGAATGTAGGTAGCATCCGTTATATATGGATGTTTTGATACTTATTATTTTTTTTATGTTTTTTATACCATTGAACATCATACATGTATTCATAAGAGCTTTATATTGGTTCTTACATCTATGAAGTCACATACCATAACAGACTTGGCTAAAAATAATGTATAAGAACACCTATACACTTAATTTTATTAATCATAGCTAGGGCCCTGACCGATATCACACTCTAATAATTTATAGGAACAAATCCCAATCTTGACTATATGTGTCTATTATAAGTTTCGTGTCATATTTAGATAATATCATTTATAATTATTTTGTTTAGACAAGCGTTTAGCATACATAAAGGTAACTTATGTCTTAGGTTGCATATCATATCAGATTGTATCACAACAACTACTTAAGTGACAACATACATCTTAGGTTCAAGGCCATATAATCTTCATCCATTCTTTGATATCCCTCATTAACACTGATCTATGAAGTGATTCAAGGATTTAAAACGCTAATATAGAAAACAACAATTCTCCTTGATTTTGAGTAAAATACAACTTGGTTTTGTGTAAGAAACAATGCTCTCCCTCTTATTGTAGTATACAAGATCAACAAAATAACAACTCTTCAATTTACTCTAGTATACACAAGGCATGTCTTGCATTTTGAGTAAAATAAAAAATTGTGATTTTCTAATCAAATGAAGATTCTAGCTCTGAGATGCTTGCTTCAATCCATAAACGTATTCTAGTTCTAGCCTACATCCTATGTACAACCTTGCTAAGGTGATCATTAAAGAAAATTGTTTTACCATCTATATGATATATCACATAGTCATAGTATGGATTATCACAACTAGAAACCAAATTGCTTTGATTATAAACATCAAGTCCAATCTTAAAATCATGTCTTGTAACTTGATAAATACAAATAATCAAATCATCATCTTAATCCTGAATCTTCTCTTAGACCAATAAATTATGTTATGATCAAAATTATGTCTTCTATATAATCCTAAGCAAAATTCTATCATGAGTATAAACATTTCAAACATAGTTAAAAAGGTGAAGTACGGATAAAAGTAATGGAAGCTTTGTAGAAATCTAGTTATGAAGAATCAATTGTGGTTAAAACACTCACCCCCTCCCCTTGTTCGACTACCAGAAGACCTGGGTTATGTTAAGTGTGCCACAACTAGCTTATAAAGTAGTTATTTTCTAGTTTTTTTAGTTGTCATGTTTGACAAACTAAATAGTAACTTATATATTACCTTTTTTAAAAGCTACTTAGAGTAGCTTATTAACTTGCTTATAGAGTCTTTTTAAATTATATCATATATACCCTTTATTAATCATAATAAATATATTTTCTACTTATTCTTATGTCATTTTACACTTTCCAACTAGCTTATCAGCTAGTCTTTAGCAAAACTTTATTTTTAATCAGCTAAATAACCAGCCACCAGTTAACTTTTCAGCAACAAACTAACTTTTCACATAACAATTAATTTTTCAACTAATATATCAAACATAGTCATCGCCCTCTAATTAGTAGACTCTATTAGCCTTTATACCTATAAAAACAACATATTTTAAGTTCTATTATTAATAATAATATATTTATATTTTAAATATATGAAACATTATACGTGCAACTTTTACTAATAATGGAAATATAGTACATAATGTGTGTGTATATATATATATATATATATATATATATATATATATATATATATATATATATATATAAAGAGAGAGAGAGAGAAAGAGTGATATCAGATCGGGTGATGACTATTTTTAAAGTTTATACTCGTGAGGACACCTTAAAAAAACTTGAAAAAAAAATATAAAAAAATACAAGTCATAAAATCGAGCATAGTACTACATCGAAGAGAAAAAATTTGGAAAAAAAAAATTGGACCATTAAAATTGAAGCATGGATCATTTGTTTGATCTATGATTCAATTTTTATGATCCATGATTCAATTTTAATGATGCAAAAAAATTCAATTTTTTTCTTGTGGATATAGTGCTATGATCAATTTTATTATTTGTATTTTTTTAAGATTTTTTTTTCAATTTTTTTAAGGTTTCCTCATGAGTCCTCATCGAAAAAAGAGTCATCACCTGAACCGGACCTTATATATGTTATGATATGTCATAGATGGTAGGATTGAGATCAAGGGTGGGTGTTGAGTTGGTTCCTTCTCCTGATATCATAGTAGAAAGAAAAGAGATGATCCTTAGAAAACGTCTGAGAGTGGTTCCCAGGGCGAAGCTCCGACGATCAAGTTAGAATTGATTCCGAGAGAAGATAGTGAATGTCTAAGAGAAAAAGAGTCCAATCCCCTTCTCCGTGGTGAAGAAGGGTTCTTTTATACCTGATCGAGAATCACGTGCCTCCTAACTAATTATGTTGAGTCTTCCCTCGTGAGACGAGACGTGGCAGATTTGTATTGAAGGATCCTCCATTACATCCTTCTATCTCGTTCCCCCATCGGCTAGAGGGGAATCTTCGATATAATGATGATCGTGGTTGTCGTCAGATAGGCAAGTGGAGTTCTCTGATTGGCTCCACATTTTCTGGGGTGTTTCTCTTGGGGAGAAGAGGGTAAGGCGCAGTTTTGCCCCTTAACCGCCATACTAGTGAGTCCATGCAGGCGGAGGCCCGACCTTGGCGTCAAACTGGGTATGACCAGAATCTTACTAGGCCAAGCTTGGTGCTAGTTTGTCTTTTCTTCTTTAATGTTTTTACTGAGGGATACGTTAACAAGTCCTTTAGGATTTTAGGTGTATGTGTTAGCTTGGTAGCATCACCATTCGAGCCTACATTACAAAACGTGTATGTCTGAGATTATTTCTGGCATTCGATAGACTTAGACAATGTCGTCGATATGTGTCATATCCATCATGAGACGGTTCGTGACACAAGTTTTACCTTTAAAATTCCCCCTTTACTCAAGACCTTTCACATTTTCCTTCTTTTCTTGTTTTCGTTGTAGTGACTCAGGCATTTCGTGATTTTTTTTTTCTTTTTCATCACTCATCCGTTCTTAACGATGGATTGTTATGGCAGAGCCCTTACCGTAGAGCAATTTCAACTCCTGCAAGAACAATTTGGTTTCTTGCCAGAGCTTGGCGTGATTATTTCGATGAAGGGATCATCGATCTATGATTTCTCTCAAAGGAAAGTAGGGGTTCCTGTTCCTCTGTTCGAAGCGGGGTTACACCTGCCAATGTATGACTTCTTTGATATAATTGTGCACCACTGCGACTTTTCTGTTGACGAATTAACCCCAAGTGTCGTCAATAAGATCATGGGCTTCGAACTGATCTATGGGTCCCCAGGTTGTATACCCACTTGTTGGGTCTTCAGTTACTTCTTTTGTATGTATACGAACTTTGGTGTCCGCATGTTGGCGAAAAGGCGAGGCATTCATCAGTTGATCTCTGAGCAAGATAATCCGAAGAAAAATTGGCAGAAACAATGGCTCTGGGTAAAATGAAACCTTGTAGGGCACGGGTTTCATAAGATCCTAGACTTTCCCGACCGTCTTCCCAAGCTATTCAGGGATAACCTAGTTCTTGGTAAACGAATAGGAAATATTACTGTCGTCGGGGAGAACTAGAAAGATTTCATCCTTGCTGCAGCCGATATGAGTGCTGCCTGGAGGGTGTGTGGGAATATGGCGCAATTATTCGTCATGATAGATGGTATTCACTCATCTCCATCTCCCCCATTTTTTTACAAGAATAAGAGCAAAGTATTTTATTGGTCTGTTAGTTCTTATGCTTGGCGTTTGTGTTTGCAGGTGCCAAAGCCGATGTTTCCTTGGAGATGGCCTTACATGGCCATTATCAGGGTAAGCTTGGCCATCAGGATATTGACCTTATGAAAACTCTTACCCCCCCCCCCCCCTTGCATCTGAAAAACATATGCCAGAGCTTGCTAGATTGCTCCCGACAGAAGGGGGAAATGTTGGTTCTAGCGGACCTGCCTCGTCTACTCAGTTGGGTGTTGGGACTACAATCCCAAGCCATTCTACGGCCTCTTCTTCTGCCGATATTCTTATGGTTAATCAAGTAGGAAAAAGTACTACTCATATCCGTAGAAAACGAAGTGCACGCGTGGTGTTGTCGTCGGACGAAGAGACGGAATCTAATGACATGGGCCTCCGTTCTCGTAAGAGGCGAAACACAGTGTACGTGCCCAAGGTGGTATTGGGTATGTTCATGGCGATGTGTTTTCTGCTCCCGGGCGGAAAGAGATAGTAGTGGTGCCCATTTCTTCAAATACATCGCCTTATCTGTTTATTGACTCACTCACGGCTAATCCTGGTGCCTGTTCTGTCCTTGGAGGTGCATTGGGCATGTTAGGAGGCTTTCCTCCATCAGACATAACTTATATGGTTGAAAAAGTGAGTAGTGCATCCCATCCCTTAGCTTTCAGAGCTTACATTCCAAGCTAGGCGGTTACTAAAGATTCATTACTTTCGGAAGACTTTACAACTCAGCAGTGGAGTTACTGTGCCCATCCTCCGGCCACAATCAAGTTTCTTGCGGCCCAATCGGAGGCATGCATGGCCGGCAACCTTCGGTACGCAGCTGCTCAAACTTCTGCCCTTATGGTTGCTGCCGCTGACCAGGTTTGCTGCCATGGCATAAATTAAGCTCAGCTGAAAACTTCACAAGATGTTGCTAGCTTGAGTGGGGAACTCCGTGATTTGGAGGAAAAACGTTGGAGGCTGTCAGAGCAATATTACATTGTGGCCTGTGAGAAGGCTTCTTTGGAAGATCATGTGGACACTCTGGAAGACTAAGCAGAGCGACTTGAAAATCAAGTGAGTTCTCTAGCTCAAGATAAGGGTGTTCTGGCGAGGGGGTTAGCCAGGTGCCAATGTCAACTGGCCCATGCTCGGGTTGATGGTGTTGCTGCCCTTGGAAACTTGCAATGGGTGTTGGAAAATGGCATGGTCCGAGTAATCAATAAGGTTATCGCAAGTGAGGAGTTTTCTAGTGGGATCCAAGGCTTACAGAAGGCGTGTGAGGCCCTTGGACTGGAAAATGGGAAACAGTTGGCCTGTCGTCCGACAACTTCTAGTGAATCTAACGCCCCAGACCTTGACCATGTCTCTGGAAAGGTCGAAGCGGTGGATGTTGCCCTTTCATCCCTCTCTGAGACGGATTTTGCAGGCCACTTTCGTCTGTAGGAGCTGGGCTATGACAGCTTTCGCCGATTCTGTCGTAGGCCAGGTCCTGGAGGCTTTTCCTCAGACTCTTAGGACTGATATATGTTTTTCCCCTTTCGTTTATTTTGTAATGTATCCACACTCCCTTGTATTGTATGTGTAATGAAAGATATTGGTTGCTAACGACTAAGAACTGTGTACTTTGTGCTTTGTACTTGGTATATGAATGTTTTTTTTGTGTATTTTGCATTAACCAGTGATATCCTTAGACTAGGATATTTGACATTTCTACGTTAATTCTTTTCTACATATTCCTTTGTTCTAGGGTTCGTGTTAATTAGCTAGTATGCATTTTGGACGTCGTGTAACCGCTACTGTTGGCTTGTATGATTTCGACAACCACTGACTTGTATGTTTAGTCGGGTTTCTTACGTTAATTCGTGAAATGTTATCCTATGTTCTTGGCTATATACTTTGAGGTTTACTTACCCGCGTTTTGGCTGAGATCACTACCTTAGATGTTTTACTGTCTGATTTTGAAGGGAAAGGTTAAGAATCTTTTTAGGATCCCTTTTTCCATGCCATTAATTAAAGTTTTTACATTCTCAGCTCTTGGATGTTATTGGCAAGTTTTAGGTAAATATTATGATTCTTTGAGACATATGGTTGCATCCTTGTATAGATTTTGCTCAAGTAGCGTAGGTGATCAGTTGTTATTGCTACTAGGAAAATATACACAACGTCTTTACTTTGTGTTTTTGCATTTGGTTAAACAGAATTCTGGAAAGCTGTAACACCGTGAATTATCAAACAAAATTTTCTTTTAAAACAATCACCTTCATCTCATTAACATAAGTCACAAAAGTTCCACGATCTCAATTTATCAAAACACATATCCATAATAATAAAAGTCAGGGTCTTTTAAAATATAACTCAGTCTTGTGTGTACAATCAAGCTAGTGCCTTCCCGTAACCCTAAGAAGTACCTAAAACACATATCACACAACATGATAAATACGAAGATTAGTGAGTTCCCCAAAATACCATGTACATCTCAAATAAGACCCTCCGGTCAATGTGTGTCAGTGGAGACCCTCCAGTTCCACTACTCGGATGGACCCACCAATCCTAACTCAGCAAAGCATCGCATAATCACAAAGCATACTGCATAATATATCAGATAACTCGGTGTAAGCATATATAAACAACATATACACTAAATAACATAACAACATAAGTCACAAAGATAGTATGCACAATAACGCATATCACAGTATAACAAATGAGACCCTTCGGTCAATAATGAGAACCCTCTATTCCTACAGCTCAGGTTGAATCCTTCGGTCTAATATCTCTATGAAGACCCTCCGGTCACACAGTAACTACTGCTCAGATGTGTATAGTGAGAAGACTCACCTCGAAAGCAAGCAAGCAATTATCCTAGTACTCGAATCTTGAACTAGCAACCGCCTAAAACATAGGGTAAATATCTCAAATAATTACTCGATTCTCGAGTCTAAGTAAACCAAAGGTTATCCTTCCCCTTTCTAACTCTTAAAGTGGGTAAAAGTCGATTTTACCCCTCCATGGTCTCCATTACTCATGTTTGACCAAACCCCAAAGTCAAAGAAGTCGACTCAAGAAAATAGACCATGTTTGACCCAACTCGCTGAGTGCACCTATGTGACTCGTCGAGTCCATTTGTTTCCCCAGAAGTCTTGTGAAGGTCCAGATCAGCTCATCGAGTTGACCCCCAACTAACTGAGTTATCGCATGATTCAAGTTCATCGGGACAAACCCTAACCGACTCGTCGAGTCAGCTCATCGACTCGACTAGCCCATTCAAAATCATTTCTCATTCAGATGATTTCAAGGCAGAAAACCTTCCCAAACTCTAGATCTACATTTTTAAGGCTCAATTATTATGTAAAGTCATGAGCTTTACGCCCATGTGTGGCACTTAGGGCTTGAAATGCCAAGAACATGCTCTATTAAGGGTTTTTCACTCAAAAGCTCAATTGTGGCTGAATAAAGCATGGACCTTTAAACTCTAGGGACCTCACATGATCCAGATGTGATGTCCAAATCCCAGTATGGACTCATTACACTCAAAGTTCCAATATTAGATGGAAAAAGCCCTAAACTCCAATAATATGGGATATACCCAACAAAATGAGAAAGGTTTAAACTCTTTACCTTTCACAGAAGCTCTTGGATGAAACAGTAGTAGATCTAACAACCTCTTCTTGTTCCTTGCTTGAAATCCCTCTCTTCTCTTCCAAAGATGCACCAAAACACTCAATATCAGCTCAACACTCTATCTCTTAGCTCAAAGGCTAATTAGGGTTTCTCTCAATTAAGGTAGGCTGCGGATGAGCCGCAAATTAGGCTATAAGTGTCCTTAAATAGGCCCTAAACCCGGGGATTTGGGGTTTCATCACTCAGAGTCTACTCCGCGAGTCGACTCTCTTACTCATCGAGTAGGTTACTAATCCCGGGTGGCCAGACACGACTCTACTTGATGAGTTGGACTCACAACTCATCGAGTCACTCAATAAATCTCAAAATAAACACTTAATTAATATACCTGGGAATCTGTTGGGTTTTGTATACTAAAACATCCTATGGTGCACATACAACCCTAAAAGCTTTGGATCTATGTTTTCTCTAATTATACATGCATATGGTTTCCAAATGGAATCACAACACATCTAGGACAAAGGTGACTATTGAGAGAGAATTCGTTCCACACCAAAATCAACTCCATGAACTCTAAGAACTAGAAGTGTCGATTTTGGCTACGGAGTGACCTATTTATATGTAGGATTCCAAGGGTCATGGGTATAACCAAAATCCATACCCATGTGTTTTATCATCCATGGTTCATGTGGCCCAACTCTTTATGTATCCATACATAAACTTAGTCCAACATGGATCATAAGCCGAACACATATAAATATAACTAATTTACATAATTAGTCCCCATTAATTTAATTAATCTCTTTTGATCACTAAATTAATTCCAAACTAATTCTTGATCAATAATAACTTAATCATATGATTTCATATTAATATATTAGAACTTATAATATATTAATAAATCATATATAACCTCTTTTCAAAAGTCCATCCTAACAAATTGTCCTGATGATATACAACCCAAATGGACTATGCTACTTTCAGGTCGAGTACATACCAATAATAGTTATGGGCTTAGACATCTAATCCAACAGTCTCCCGCTTGGATAAGTCTAAAACTATTATTGAAAATACGACTCCAAAATCCCAACTAGCAATCGTAGCTCTTAAAAGTTGATGTCGAACTCCGACTTAGTCAATGACGTGTCCATTAGATAAGGGATCATATATTCCTCCATCTTAGATATCATATGGACTGAGACATGGATTATAATTATTATCTCTGTCCATCTGTTGTTTCCCGGTTAATGATTTATGTTGACCGACTAATTGAACAAATCAAATCAGTCCAGGTCCGACCGAGCACTTAGGGTTGTCATCACTAGATAATCGAGGGGCCCACAAATATCACTTTTATCCACATGGGGTAAAAGGAATGAATAAACTTTGACCCAAATGCTCACTTGTAGTTACTCATCATATTACACACAACGATATGTTTTATAACAACCAAGCTACCGGTGCGTTTACATATGTCAATGTGCAACCGACGCACAACTACAACTCATACGTCTCCGTTTGAAGAACATAAGATATTATCGTCTCATGATCACTCATGATAAAATCCATGAAGTGATTCAGATGAGAGTGGGTTGAATCTAATACTCGAATCTTATTCCAGGAGTACTCATGAATATTGCATCCACTTTGTCCTAGACAAACTACAGACCCATTCATGACAGTCTTGCCTCAATACCTACTTCCAAAGTATCATAGAATGTGGATGGTTTGAATAGCCTAGTTATTCGGGAAGTCAAAACATGCAAAGTGAAACACAGGAATAATCGAATCCAATATGGTCTCAGAACTTATGAATATAATTAAAAACACATTTTATTTAATCACCATATTGATTACACATTATTCATTGTATAATGTTTCGATTTATCAACCTAATACTTGAATTAAAACAATAGTTATGCCATGCTCCAAGCATGCACACTATGTTTGTCTAAACAATAGTTATGCCATGCTACGGTACCCATTCCGACTCTTCAGAATATCAAAACTCTAGTGGTCTAGCTCCCTACCAGACTTCCCTCGCAAGATATCATCATGCTCATCGATCCTCTAGTAACAAACCCCGATAACTTATTATCCCTTTGATTCCCTTGTTGTGTCTAATAGAACCAAGTCATTGACTAATAATTTGCTACCGATCACTCACACCAGATATACTAAACGATCCAGATCATACTCCAAGGAACTAAAGGATCACATCTCCCCAAGGACTCATCCACCTTACTGCAATCAGAAGCCATCTGAATAATAAACTCTCAACACCCTGTCCTCAGACACAAGAAAATTATCATGCTTGCTCAGAAGTAATCTCTGACATCTAATAATCATAAACCTCTACTCCCTCTCAAATATCCCTTTCAACGCTGAGCACCAGGTCAACTCACGACCCAACCGTTAAACCTCCAAAGGTTACCCATGCAAAACGTCTCACTGACTTCATTCTCATAATAACTATCTCGGCCCATTGTGATGCACAAGTCACGAGGTTTGCTTTACCCCAAGCGAGTACTACAATCCCAACTGAAATCGTCTCACCCTCGACCTCGGTCGTCCACTACCTCATTAGTCCCATGCATCTCACGGTCCTTCCCATACAAACGAATTGTCCCACTCATGTCAAAGACATCAGATGACACATAATACCCCCTCGAAATGGAATCTACCTCTACATCTAGAACCTCATTCCACCTTCTCAATACACCACTGGAGCCAACTCAAACTCGAGAGTCTAGTCCGATGCAAAATTGGTACCACTCACCTTAATGAATCACTCAACTCATAACCCATCACCCGCAACTCAC